CATTCTTCTCAATGTTATCCATAATTTGTTATGATCCACACAGTCAAATACTTTTGCATAGTCAATAAAACACAAGTAAACATCTTTCTGGTATTCTTTGTTTTCAGTCTAGATCCATCTGATATCAGCAGTGATATCGCTTGTTCCACATCCTCTTCTGAATCCAGTTTGCATTTCTGGAAGTTCTCTGTCAATACTGCTGAAACCGTTTTTGAATTATCTTTAGGAATATTTTACTTGCATATAATATTAATGATATTATTTCATAATTTCCACATTCTGTGGAGGCACCTTTCTTTGGAATGGGTACAAATGCAGATCTCTTTCAGTCACTTGGTTGGGTAGCTGTCTTCCAAATCTCTTGGCATAGCCATATGAGTGCCTCCAGTGCGGCATCTGTTTGTTGAAACATCTCAATGGGTATTCTCTCAATTCCTGGAGCCTTGTTTTTCACCACTTCCTTCAGTGCAGCTTTGACGTCTTTCTTCAATATCATTGGTTCTTAATCATATTGCCACCTCCTGAAATGGAGGAACATTGACCTATTCTTTTTGGTACAGTGACTCTGTATTCCTTCCATCTTCTTTTGACATTTCCTGCATCATGCAGTATATTGTCCATAGAATCTTTCAGTATTGCAGCTTGAGGCTTAATTTTTTTCTTCAGTTCTTTTAGCTTTATTTATTTAGAGAAATACCAAGTGTGTTCTTCCCTTTTGGCTTTCTAACTCCATGTCTGTGTATATTTCATTATAATAATTGACTGTCTTCTCAAGCTGCTCTTTGAAATCTTCTGTTCAGCTCTTTTATCTTGTCATTTCTTCTATTTGCTCTATCTACTTTTAGTTCAAGGGCAAGTTTCAGAGTCTCTTCTAACATCCATTTTGGTCTTTTCTTCCTTCCCTGGTTTTTTAACAACCTTTTGCTTTCTTCATGGATGATGTTCTTGATGTTATCACACAGTTCCTCTGGTTTTCAGTCACTGGTGTTCAGTGCATCAAATCTGTTCTTTAGATGGTCTCTAAATCCAGGATGGATATACTCAAGGTCATATTTTGACTCTCATGGACTTCTTTTAATTGTCTTCAGCTTCAACTTGAACTTGCATATGAACAACTGATGGTCTATTCCATAGTCAGCTCCTGGCCTTGTTTTTGCTGAAGATATTGAGCTTTTCCATCACCTCATGCCACAGATGTAGTCAGTCTGATTCCTGATTCCTGTGCACTCCATCTGGTAAAGTCCACGTGTATAGGTGCTGTTTGTGTTGTTGAAAAAAAGGTATTTGCAATGAGTAAGTCGTTGGTCTTCCAAAATTCTATCATGCAATCTACAGCATTATTTCTATAATAATTAAGTATGTTGTTGTTGTTGTTGTTATGTGCCGTCAAGTCAGTCCTGACTCATAGCGACCCCTCCTTGGGTTGCCGAGGCAGTATCACTACGGAAGTAGGATTGCCCAACCTTCCTTCCGAGGAGTGGTTGGTGGGTTTGAACCACCAGCCTTCTGGTTAGCAGTCAAGTGCCTTAGCCACTATGCTACCAGAGCTCCCATAATTAAGTATAGTTCCTTAAAATCTTGTGTAGATTTTATAATTAATACTCCTCAGCCTATTTAATGAATCTACAAAGCTAGAAAGATTAGTGGTCATGCTGACCTGTCCCTATGCTGATCTGATGGTTTACAATTCTGTAGGTGAAAAAGAGTGCAGGGAGGGCTATGCATCTTGTTTGTCTCTTCATAATTTGGCTAAGCTTGGTCGCTGTTATGAGTAGCAGGGTGAATGTTTTCTAGTAGTGGTTTATATCATAATCTGTACCTGAGCATTCATAGTTGTATTTCCTCTATTCATTAAAAGTCCAATGTCTTGGTTCTCTTACAGTTTTGGAGGGTGGAATTCCAAATGCAGAGTGCTGGCTCTAGGGTCCAGGTGAAGGCCCCTAGACTTTGGGCTTCAGCTCTGCCTCTTTGTTCCCAGCCCACTGGAATAAGCTAAAGGCTTCTTCTGACTCAGCCAGCTTCACGCTGCTTAGGCTGACAAAGCAAAGGTCGGCTGCTAAAATGGCACAGTCCCAAGGTCAGCAGACAACACAGCAGATCACTAGTTCAAGTCCAGGAACAATCCCAAGATCACCAGGCAACGTGGCAGGCCAAGACTCAGCCAAATGCAGGGTCCAGATGTGCCAAAAGCTAGAGACCTTTCTCAGAGCTTCTCCATATATACTGGAAATGTAGACTGTACCCCAGAGATCACTCCCTTTCCATTGATTTAAGTCTCACAACAGATTCCAGCATGGAGGTACTTACAGTCTTATCATGGGGAATGGCTATATCTAGCTGCCAGGCCACTGAAAACCATGGCTCAATCAAGTTAGCACACAATGTTAACTGCCACACCCAAACATCAAGGCTTCCTCGGTTTCTTCCTTCTCTCTACAACTTTATACACAAGTTGATGCCTTTTCCTGCATTAACTGAAGTACAGGCCTCTAAGGGATATTTCCTTTTGTAAGTTTTAGAAATTTTCACCTGGAAAACTGAAGGACTGAATCACTTCCAATGAGCAGCAAATCTTTGTAGCTTGTGTCATAAACTCAGGATGAACCTGTTTGAGAATCCTCTATTTAACCAGCAGACTGCCTTTCCTACTGGTGGTATTCTGTGTCTCATCACCAAAGTTACGCATTTCTTGATTCAAGGCTGGTTACCAGTTGCCACCAAATCAGAGTAGAACTGTGCTCCATTAGTTTTTCAGAAGTAGTTTGTCAAGGCTTTCTTCTGAGGCACCCCTGAGTGGATTTGAAACTTGAATTTTTCAGTATGTAGTCCAGTATGTTAACCATTTGTACCACCTAGGGACTCCTCGGTCCCGAGTCAGGGCAACCCCATCCACAATTCTTGTCTGAACTGTGCAAAGCAGCCACCTAGTCTTCCACATCGGAAGGAAGGTTGGGCATTCCTACTTCCGTAGTGGTACTGCCTCGGAAACCCAAGGAGGGGTCGCTATGAGTCGCGGCCAACTTGATGGCAAATAACAACAACAACAACAAGTCTTCCACATATACTTCTTAAAGCACTGGGAATGTCCTTGAGTCCTGCTGAGAATTTCAGGTCCTCGTGGTGATCCAGCATATTGTCCTTAGTTAGTGATTTTGCTTGAAAGCAGAACTCTGCAAACTTTTTCTGTATAGGGCAAGCTGCTGTTGTTGTTGTTATATGCCGTCGAGTTGGTCCCGACTCATAGCGACCCCTCCCTGGGTTTCCGAGGCAGTTATCACTACGGAAGTAGGATTGCCCAACCTTCCTTCCGAGGAGTGGCTGGTGGGTTTGAACCGCCAGCTTTCTGGTTACCAGTCAAGTGCCTTAGGCACTATGCTACCAGAGCTCCTATAGGGCAAGCTAGTAAATATTTTCTGTTTGTGAGCCTTACTATCTTTTGCAACTTGCCACTGTAGAGCAAAAGCAACCAGAAACAATATGTAAAGGGATGGACATGGCTGTGTCCCAATAAAACTTTATTTACAAAACCAGGTGGTGACTGGATGTGGCCCACCGTTTGTAACTTAATGACATCCTGACCTAAAGAAAAAGCTGTGAGAGAACACTTCCTGAGAAAACTTCAAGCCTACAAGATGCTTTCTTTGAAGTTGTTTTGTCTCTCTCAGCTATTTAAAATTTCTTTCTGGCTTCTGTTAGGTATAGCCTTCTAACTCCTGTCAGATTTATGATTAGCTCTTCGAGATCAGAAAAGACTAGAGAAGACGTTTACTGGCTGCTTAATATATCTGTCTGGAAAAGGTCCTCTCACAGGAATCATGAAGGCTGGAATCAAAGCCTGCTGTGTCGTACTTTCCTATCATGCTATTGACAAAAAGAAATCTCCAGAGAGATTGTCCTTCCTTTTAAATGACAAAATTTCTGACTAATGACATATCATACCTTATACCTCTTTTCAAAGCTTAAGGTAAAAATATGTTTTTCAAGATAAAAGAAAGCCAATGTAGAAAAAAATATGTATTTTTACTATAAATTGATTCTATTAACTGTCTAAAGACAGGCTTTTTAATAAATATTTTTCATAGTACTTGGAATACAGAGATTTTACATATGATCATAGCACTTGCTTTATTCACTAAGGATTTATTGCCAGGGCTATGCAAGTCCCTCCGATTGAATAAGGTGCCGTCCTAGTAGTAGCCTTAATACAGTGTGCTAAGTGCCATGCTAGCTGAGAGTGCCAGGAGGATGGATGTAGGCCTTGATGCTCCAGACACTCACCTTGAGGCCCTGTGCACTTCCACACATTTAGAGTATTGGGGAGGGATTTACAGGCCTTGAGGTAGGAGTAGAGCAGGGAATGTCTGTGGATAGCAGTAAGTAGTCCTCAGAGGCAAGTTGTGGAGGAGCTGTAGAAGGAGATATGGCTGGAGAGATAGCTGGAGTCACTCCAAGAGGCCCTAAAGGACATATGACAGTGAGCCTAAGTTATATTGGGTAATGTGGAGGAAGGGCTATATGATCTATCTTCGGATGATAAGTTGCTATGAAAAGACTTAGCATTTTCAAAGGAACACACTATTTTAGAGCTGGAAGGAACCTTGGAGACCCAGGGTTGTACGTTCCTTTTGGAGGTGAGAAGCCAGAGTCCTAACTGGAATCCAGCCCTTCTGACTCCCAGGCCAGTGGACTTCCTCCTAGACCTCCTGCTTTTCTGTTAGGAAAAAAGAAAATATGTAAGTCTATTTGTTTTTAAACCCACCCACCACGACTTGGAAGGAAGGTTGGGCAATCTACTTCTGTAATGATACTGGAGGGGTCGTTATGAGTTGGATCTGACTTGACGAGTTTGGTTTTTTGTTTTTACGTCTTGTTAAAAAATCTGCAAACCTAGGCATCTTTAAAGAATTACCCTATGTGGTATAATAGCTGGTATTTTTGATAAGATGTTGCTTTTTTGCTTTGAAGTACCACATTTTTTTTTGTTTTCTACTCTCATATAGGTGGATAGCTTATGAAGGATCCAATTTCTTGGGAAGACAGATCCTACTGGAGCCTAATGAGATTTCAAATTGGACAGCATTCAGTGGATGGAAAACAATTGGTTCCCTTCGTCCTATGAAACTGGTAAGGAGAAATGAACCATAATATCCAAAATTGCTCACATGTCCTGGTAAATGTGAAATCTGAAATATAGCCATTTAATTTAGTTTGCATATATGAAACAGGTTGATTAGAGGGAGGTGTGGGGTGAGGAATCTTTTAACAAACACTTAAAGTTTTACCTAAGGCCAGCATAGATTTTTATCTTTGAGTTCAAAGTCATACTGACTATGTTCATTTTCATGGAAAAATAAGATAGTATAAGCTCTGTGGGAAATGATGGAAACAAGAATGAACTTTGCAACTGTATTAGTTTTACTTTCCAAGTACTTGGGTTTCTTTTTCCCTACTTATGTAATACTCAGGATAGCTCCTGGCAGTTTAATTAAAATAGTATTTACTGCACACCTACTGCTTGTCACTCTTCTGTTCAAATGCTTCCCACTACACTTTGGGTACAATCCAAACTCCTCCACATGGCCTGCATGATCTGGTTCCCCATTTCTCCATCTTCATCTCTCACAGGTCTCCTTTTCACATGGCTGTGTCACCTGTGGCAGCCTACAGAGTGCTTTCTCACTCAGGGACACAGGAGGCTGTGCACTTCACCTAGAGTGCTCTCCCCTCCTTTGCCTGCTGCCTCGTTATTTATCCCTATGGATTCAGCTTAAGTGTTGGGTCCTCAAAGATGTCTTCCCCAACCCTTCCCTAACCTAAATTAGACCCTAAAAAGCCTGGTCCTACTTCCTCAAGAAGGTGCTCTGGTGGTGCAGTGATGAAATACTCAGCTGCTAACAGTCAGTGGTTTGAGCCCACCAGCTCCACAGGAGAAAGATGAGGCAGTCTGCTTCCATAAAGATTACCATCTTGGAAACCTTACGGAGCAGTTTTGTTCTCTCCTATGTAGTGTCACTATGAGTAGGAATCCACTCAATGGCAGTGGATTTGATTTCTGTGGATATTTCTTCATTGCTGTTTCCTGTTTGGAACAACGTAGTTTTGGTTGGATTGGGCTCTTTCCTACTGTACTCCTACTTCCTTGAGGGTAGAAGACCAAACCAAACCAAACTCCCTGCTATCGAGTCTATTCCAACTCACAGTGACCCCCTTTGGGTTTCTGAGGCAGTAAATCTTTACTGCCTAGTCTTTTTGCCCAGTCTCCCTCCTACAGAGTGGCTTTGAACTGCCAACCTCTGGTTAGGAGTCAAATGACTTAGGCACTACATCACCAGAGCTCCATATTGAAGGGAGAAGTAGTGTACATTTTGCTTATTACTCTACCTATAGTAGTACCTGGTAGGAGCTCTGGTAGCATTAGTGCCTAAGGCACTTGACTGCTAACCAGAAGGCTGGTGGTTCAAACCCACCAGCCACTCCTCGGAAGGAGGGTTAGGCAATCTACTTCCGTAGTGATACTGCCTCGGAAACCCAAGGAGGGGTCGCTATGAGTCGGGTCTGACTTGATGACACATAACAACAACATAGTGCCTGGCACATTGTAGGAGCTCAGAGATTGATTGTTTAATGAAAGAATGAATATGTAATGAAGGAATAAATGTTTTATACTATGTTTAGTGTTAGGAAAGATATAAGGCTTCCTGTCATATTGGAGCTTACTTTTATGTTGGGGAAACATGACCAAGTCAAAGCAATAACTTAAAATGGAAAACAGTATAATCATCAAAAGCTACAGGCAGTGCTGGTTCGAGAAAGGGAAATACCATGTGTGGGAGTGGGGAGTGCTAGCCTCTCAAGGGTGTGATAATCAGTGGATATGTCATTCTTACTGCTCTCTAATCCCTTTAGACACATATTCTCACTTGATTTCTTTGAGGTAGGAATTATCCCTGTTTTATAGGTAGAAAACAAAGGCTCACAGTGGTAAAGCAATTTGGCTGAAATCATCGAAGTGTCAGCCCTAAGAGTTGAACCTAGGTTTGTTATGCTCTAAAATCTATGTTAAGCCACCACACTCAGCTTTCTTCCAAAGTAAGATCAGCATTTACATCAACATTTCTGAAGACATTAAGTGGTTAATGGTAGTCAATAAAAAAATTAAGTCTAATTGATCTCTTTTTGTTGTCTTCTTCACACATACACACAAACCATGCTCAATACCATCCTCCTTCAGTTCTGTTGATTCAGATCCTAGCTTTGCCATTTATAAGCAGTGTGACTTTGGGCAAGTCACTTAATTCCTTGGCATCTCAGATTCCTTCCTGGTCAAACGGTGATCACATCACTTACCTCTCAGAGGTGTTGTAAGGATTAAATAAGATAATATATATAAAGAGCCTGGTATATATCTGGCTCATATTACTATGGTGATATATTTATTTTGAAAGTTTACCTTTCCCAACAACCCTTTAGAGAACCGGAGATGCTCTGGGGGATACTAAAGATAGTAATGGGCTTTCCTGGCATAGAACATGTGGCACAGGATCCTGTCACCTTGATATCTTGCTTATTCTTTATTCCTATAGCATAAGATGATGGGTATGCCTATTGAAAGCCATGGAAAGAACCAAGGTATAAGTGGGAATCCTTTTGGTTTAGCTTTTACTGGCTACATAATGATGCTACTCGTACTATGTTGTTACAAACTTTAAAGTTTAACACTAAGAATATTTTCTTTATTTTGGAATGGTGTTTCCTTGGTAGGGAAACTGCTGCTGCCCATTTTACAGGGCCCTGAGATATAGTATAGCTAGGCCAGTAGCTTCTAGTTTTACATATAAATTTTTGAACAATTAAAATTTTTTGTGTTATTCTTCTTATATTGTGCTTTAGAAACTTTCTGATCCCTATTCTAGTTGAATATTTAAATTCAAAACAGTATTTTAATAAGTTCTTTTCCCTGCTGTTATTGAGGCCACAGCTTTGAATCTTGCAAAGGGATCCTTAGATTCTGAGACAGCATTTTGGGTCATATTTAACTTTTTAGTAAGTCTGTTGGTACTGCAGTTATTCATATTCTTGTTTAGAAATTCAAGAGTAATTGAAGAGTCTTTGAGATTGGGAATTAGGAAGTTACTAAGGCTCTTAAAATGTGTATCAGTCAGTGCTTTTAAGTATAATTACAAAGGATTCAGACTACAAATATGTAACAAGGATAATTAGTACCTTGCTTGAGTTAATTTATTACAACTGTGTCCTAAAGTAATTGGAATTCTCACAACTGTGAAGGTCATGCTTATTTTCTGATATGTACCAGATAATGGAATTGTAATAAAGATATAGTAAAGCCTCAAAAATTCTTAATTTCAGTGGGAAATGAGGCTTAATTATAAACATAATTATAAATAGGAAACAGTGGTTTAAAACATTTAGCCAAGTAGAGGTCTTATTCATCTGCTTCAAATGACCAGATAATAATTTGTCCTTCTATTTGCTTAAGTGTTTAGAATAGTTATTTCCTTAGGAAAGCTAAACATGGTAACAATGTACCAAGATTCAACTGCCTTGGGTTGATCTTTCATAAGTTTTAAAATAGTAGGATATTCATTCATTACCATAATACCACATTGCATTACCTAGCATTTATGTTTCTCAGAGTGAAAGTGCTCCCTTATACAAAGAGCAGTCCATTTGTAGTTATTATTTGGCCAAGGTTCCAATTGAGATACCAAAACCCAAATTAAGGCAGGTGAGTGTCCTGCATTTCATGCTAAGACTGGAACCCTAAGTCATGGGGCTGATTTCAGTTGAGCTTTGATCATGTGTCCGACCCTTTCACTCTCTTAATTAATGCTGCCCTCTTTGGAAGCAGTCTGTGTCATTCCCTGTATCTAAGAATAACAGGTACATTTCAGTACAGGCCTTAAAACCTGTTAAGAGGGAGAGACCTGGGACCTGGCTTCACATCTTATGTTTTACCTTATTATAATATTTGGGTGACAATTGTACTTTCTTACAGGTTTGTTAAGATTATTTATAACCAATGATACAATGGCACAGAAAGCATTTAATACAATGCTTGGCAAACACAAAAGTCTCAATAAATATTGGCTGTTATCCTAAGAGGCAAGTCTTAGATTTAATATTTTAAAACACTAAATTTTAAAGGACGAAGTCCTTTGTTACCCATTTTCAAGATATCTAAGTAGTGATCAAGAACCAATGGTATTGAAGAAAGAAGTCAAAGCTGCATTGAAGGAAGTGGCAAAAAACAAGGCTCCAGGAATTGACAGAATACCCACTGAGACATTTCAACAAACGGATGCTGTGCTGAAGGCACTATCTCATCTATGCCAAGAGATTCGGAAGACAGCTACTTGGCCAACTGACTGGAAGAGATCTGTATTTGAACCCATTCCAAAGAAAGGTGATCCCACAGAATATGGAAATTATTGAACAGTATCATTAATATCACATGCAAGTAAAATCTTACTGAAGATCATTCAAAAACAGTTGTTCACAGTATATAGACAGAGAACTTCCAGAAATGCAAGCTGGATTCAGAAGAGAATGTGGAACAAAGGATATCATAGCTGGTGTCAGATGGATTTTGGGTCAAAGCAAATAATACCAGAAAGATGTTTACTTGTGTTTTATTGACTGTGCATTAGATTGTATGGATCATAAAAAAATTATGGATAACATTGAGAAGAATGGAATTACAGAACACTTAATTGTACTTGTGAGGAAATGGTACCTAGACCAAGAAGGTGTCATTTAAACAGAACAAGGCAATACTGCATGGTTTAAAATCAAGAAGGGAGTGTGTCAGGGTTGTATCCTTTCACCATACTTGTTCAATCTGTATGCTTAGCAAATAATCCAAGAAGGTGGACTATATGAAGAAGAACATGGCATCAGGATTGGGGGAAGGCTCATTAACAACCTGAGATACACAGATGACACAACTTTGCTTGCTGAAAGTGAGGATGACTTGGAGTACTTATTGATGAAGATTAAAAACTGCAGTCTGCATTATGGATTACACCTCAGTATAAAGAAAACAAAAATCCTCACAACTTGACCAATAAGCAGCATCACAATATATGGAGAAAAGACTGAAGTTGTCATAGACTTCATATTGCTTGGATTCTAAAATCAATGCCAGTGGAAGCAGCAGTCAAGACATCAAAAGACATAGTCCATTGGGCAAATCTGTTGCAAAAGACTTCTTTCAAGTGCTGAAGAGCAAAGATGTGTCCTTGAAGACTAAGATGCGTCTGACCCAAGCCAGGGTTTTTTTAATCACCTCATATGCATGTGAGAGCTGGACAATGAATAAGGAAGACCGAAGAAGAATTGATGGTTTTGAGTTGTGCTGTTGGCAAAGAATGCCCAAAGTACCATGGACTGCTAAAAGAACCAACAAATCTGTCCTGGAAGAAGTGCAGCTGGAATGCCCCTTGGAAGCAAGAATGGCCAGACTTCATCTGACCTACTTTGGTCATGTTGTCAGAAGGGACCATTCCCTGGAGGAGAAGGATATCATGTTTGGTAAAGTGGAAGGTCAGCGAAAGAGGGGAAGGCCCTCAACAAGATGGACTCACAACAGTGGCTGCAGTGATGGGCTCAAGTATAGTAGGGATTGTGAGGTTGGCACAGGACAGGGCAGTGTTTTGTTCTGCTGTCCATAGGGTCACTGTGAGTCAGAGATGACTCGACGGCACCTAACCACAAGTAGTAGTGATTAAACTTACATGGTCTTTTCCTTTGAAGAGGTCAACAGAGATAATCATAGCTACTAGGATCCTCAACTACCTGGATTTTTCAAGACCTCCCATAGCTCTAAACAGTACATTTGATTATTAGACTTATCTTTTCTAAGTTCTTGCAAGCTTCTGTAGGTAGGGCCTTCTCCTTATTCCCCTTCTTTGCCTCCTTCAGCACAGCTGGAACACAATAGTTATTGGATGAAACCCAAGCCCCTAATTCTTCTGCAGCCCTTGCCCTATGGAGTTCTGGTGAATGGGACTATTTCCTTTTACCCTTCTAAAAGTTTTCATACTTTTCAGAAAAGTGTACTAGAGATTGTACAATTTAAACTTTGTGTTCAGTAGTCGAAGGATTTGTCAATAGAAAATATTAATTTGTACATAATTGTTTCTATATATTTGCTAAAGGGAGTAAAAATGAAGCTGATATAAATAAACTAGTTACTTCTAACTTCTGTTCCATGCTTTCCTTCTTTGAAGTATTGATTTCCAGATTCAAAAGGTTATTTTTAAACAACTGTTTTCCCCTTGTCATACATAGCCTGCAGTGTACATTAGAATAAAGAACCGAGCCCAGGATGAGTATCTGACAGTGACTGGAAATCTCGCTGACACAAGGGCAACATCTGTGTGCATTTCTCCCTATAGCGGAAAAGATACGCAGATCTGGCACTACTGTCGAGGACTCTTTAAATCCAAGGTAACCGAACAAACCAGTTGCCATTGACTTAGTTCAGGCTCATGCCAGCACCATCTGTGTCACAGTAGGACTGTGCTCCATAGGGTTTATAAGGGCTGATTTTCCATAAGTAAATCAGCACAGGCCTCTGGGTAGACTCAAATTGCAGAATTTTTGGTTAGCAGCCAAGTGCATTAACCCCATAAGTAGAGCAGTTTTGGATCTGTTCTTTTGGAAACTGTTGTTGTTGTTGTTGTGTGCCGTCGAGTCGGCCCCGACTCATAGCGACCCCTCCTTGGGTTTCTGAGGCAGTATCACTACGGAAGTAGGATTGCTCAACCTTCCTTCCGAGGAGTGGCTGGTGGGTTTGAACCGACAGCCTTCTGGTTAGCAATCAAGTGCTTTTAGCCACTATGCTAAAACTATGCATGGACTGATAAAATAATGCCAATTCTTAAGGACAATTCACTGCATGATAAAATGCTGATATGCATATATTATGAAAGCATCTAAGTGAAATGGCTTAGAGAATTTTTTAATCTTGGAAATCCAGTTTTAAGTTAAACATATGCCTACATAGTTTTAAAACACCAGTGATATGTCACTGGATCTGACTTGGATGGTGTGTGTCTGAGACATTCCTTACTCAGTAGCCTAGATAAAATCAGCTCTTTGACATTCTAAACATGTTGAAACCCTTTCATTTGCACAATATACAGTGAAATAGTAGTAGAAGAAAGAAGCTGTTATTAGAGAAAGGCTTAAAAAACAAAATTGAGGTTTCTTTTTCTGTGACTCCATTCCGTGTGATGTTATGGGGAATAAAGCACTAGTTTAAAAATATTATAAACTTATTTTACTGTATCATCAATGGATTATCTACTTTTTCTCTTGCTTCAACACAAATGAAAAGCATGTAAAAGCAATTAAAAATCTAGGTATCTTTAGGGTTTTGCCCAGCATTTTTATAAGAAACTCAAGCTCTGCTTTACACATATTAAGCTAACAAGGACTTCATCACATTTAGTTTTAATTCAGACCTTTATTGAACATCTATTGTAATATGCAGATACCCTTTTAAAAACAAGTACATCTATTTCAGTGGGCTTATTTCTATACCATCTCCCCCACGCCATAAAGAAGACTAAAAAAAAAAAGTTTACTGAAATTATTATTATGCAATACAGTGTTCTTTTGGGATAAGACACAATCACTTAATGCCTGTGACTTGTTCACCTAAAAGAAAAGAAACCCAATGCAATTTATGTTAGCAAACACAGTACTGCCAGTTTCTTTCTTAATCCTTTTAGGCCAGTGATACATGTCTTGATGTGATTGGTGGCCGGGATACACCTGGAGCTAAAGTAGCCCTGTGGACTGAACATGGACAATTCAGGCAAAAGTGGAGACTGAACAAAAATGGAACCATCAGCTCTTATCTCAGTGATCAACTTGTCCTTGATGTTAAAGGTGGGCCTTTGATGAGACCCAGTGTTTTGTGCTTGGCTATCATTTTCAAGTCCCACACCTTACTTTTTCTGGGTAAAGGAAATCCTTTCATGTAAGAGAAATGTTAAGTCATTAAGATATGCAATTTTAAGAAATGAAATATGTGCTTATGTGGATCAAGCAGAAAAAAAAACCCAAGGAAAAAGTCTAATCACGTTTTTATTCATTAGTATAGTTGTAAGATGCATTTGCTGTATGAACTTGGAAAAGGATTATAAATTGAAAACTTCACAGAAAATGAATATAATGTGTTTCTTAGAAAGAAATATCTCTAACTTTTTGCTGTGAATTGCCATGATCCTTAAAAGCCCTCACTTAAAATTTATGATAGGTATCATTTAACCTTGTTTTTGAATTCAGCAAGGTCAAGGCCAACATCATGTGTGGCTGTTGCTTTAATTGGGTTAGTCACAGCCTCTTCTGGTGTAGAAACAAAAGCACAGTACCTGACATTCAGCCAGAGTTCTCTGAGATCACGTAGTTCTTGAGAATTGCATTGTTGGGGCACCCCGCTTATGAAATCATGTATTGTGCCTTTTAGGTTTTCAATTTGAGTAGTAGCAAGGTCCAGTTAAGGTAAATAATAGCTCAGCCTGTTTAAACTCAGTTTCCCATTTCAACCACCTTATAAATGGCATTAATTTACCCAAGGAGCAGGATGAACAAAAACTGCTTGTGATACTGCTAAGCACCTGCATGAACAAATAATCTTTTCTTTTGGAATTTCTATTTTAGGGGGGAATTATTATGACAAGACTCATGTAATTGTAAATCAGCTCCTGGAGGGAGAAGAAACACAGAAATGGGACATTGAAATATTGTGAGAGAATCAACACTCTTTGAAAGAGCAAAGGAAGAAGGAACCACACATCCCTCATTGTCTTGCACACAGGAAAAGGAAGCTGTTGTCCTCAGTCTACTGGATCACTGAGCAGAGCGACCTTTTTCCCCAAGCTTTAAGATTATATTGCTCTTAACCATGAAAAAGCCCAAAACATCCTTGCCAGTTTTTCAGTGTTCCTTTGAAGAATATGTTATGTAAAGATACACTTTCGATAGATTTCTCTTAAAGGTTCTATTCCTGATTGATCTCCAGTTTTGGTAAGGATGTCTCCTGAAGTCTATTTTTTCTCTTATTCACCAAACGTGAATCCTATTCCTGTTAGCCGTTATAGGACACTGACAACATTGTCACTCTATGTTAGTTATTAACATTCTGGTAGATGCTTATATGAGTATAAGGCACAGGGAAACACATCCCTATATGTCAGATCATACTTATTGGAAAGAGATGACTAACTTTTAGCAGCATCTGAAAAAGTATTTAATGATCAACCTTCCTGTTAAGCTGCTATATTAGTTAAATCTTAAAGGTTCTATTTTGGAGCCTTTCATAATTGAAGCACCATAAGTATCTTGGTGCTTGTAACTGACCCCGGGGAGGAACCTTATCAGTTTTGTTAGGAAAAAGGCACAACTTGGAGTATTTTCTATAGCCATTCTTTCCTCAGTCCCTCAAAAAAAAAAAAATTAAAAGCACAAATAACCTGTGGCCAACCTTGTTCTCCCAAGTATTAACTAACATGACCCTCTGGGCAACAGTACTAACCAACAGTTTCCCGTCATGGTGCTGAAGGGAATATTCAAATTATTCTTTGCTGGAGTAAAGGGCAATTTCAAGTGTTTAAATTAAAGCAAAGTAGTATTTGAGTCTTGACCTTAACCATTTTCTTTTCAAGTGAAGGTGAAGTTTATTTCTCTACTAAGGAACAGAAATCTTGGTTTTTTACTCCATTTAAAATAGTTTTTATTTAACCAAAATTAGGTAGGAAATCATCTTTGACTTGGTTTTGAGCAGTCATTACCACCTTTAACTGCACAGTTCTTAAGCATTTTTCCCTCCTGAGTTGGATTGAAACTTACATCGAAACAACTGTTCCCTTTATCCCCAACTTTTGCCAAAAAGCAGGAAAATGTCTGCCGAGTTTTTATACAGAAAGATTAAACTCTCCAGTGATATTTAAAAAAAATCAACCTATATGCACTTTAGAATGTAAAATAACAGTACATAGTTTAAACTGAGATACAGAACCATTATTTTGAGTATTTTTTATGGAAACTTGGTCTTTCAGTGTAAATATTATTGGGGATTATCCCTTAAAATCTCAGGCTCTTCATTTGTCATCTTTCCAAGCAACATCTGTAAAAGTCTCTTACGCCCATAGCTGTGAGTGCCTCTCATTAGTGTGGCAGTATTATTTAATGAAACTTACGTTACAAGAATAACTTTATTTTAATGGGGGGAGGGGCTTGTTTATACAAAAAGCCATGTATATTTTCATTGTAAAAAAACCAAGTTAATATTTTTTTCTTTGTGTTAATTGTTTAAAATTTTTCTAGAGTCACTCAGGCTCTTTAAAGTTGTTTCTTCCAAAGAACAAAGACAAAGCCAGGTAACAACATTTAAATTTAAATGATGACACATTTATTGGAGTTGTGCCTTTTCTACCACACTGGATTAAATAAACTTGTCAAAAGTATGGTTTTGTCACTCTATGGGACACCGAATAATTTGTTCTTCTGTCTTTCATGTCTCTTTTGAGAGTGCATATAGCTATTGACCACATGTTAACAGGTAGGTCACGTGTTAGTAGAGACACAGATAAGGAAAGCTCCATTCATCTTTTCCTTGGCTTGTGTGTATACCCATCCCTCCTACCCAGCCTGCTGACTCAAGGCAGCAGAGTCTAGCCAGTACATATACCTACCTTTTGTTTTTTAAAAAATGTATTATAAAATAGTAGACCCCTGATTCTACAAAAGCATTAGAGTACTTGGATTAAACATTCTGTCCAGAGGGCTAACACCAGACTTTCCTTTTCTTCATCTGTAGGAAGTTTCAAGTCCTTGACAGAAATAGCTGAACTGTTCCAAATTTGCTTCAGTGCATCCATGTGTGATAAAGGAAAGCGAAGTCCATGAGACTGAAAAAGGATAAACTTACTTAGTCAAATAAAATACTACTTATGTCACTTCAGTGGCACCTTCATATAAACTTCTGTACTTTCTTATTGTTATTTTTGCTTCCCTTCACAAGTATGAAACTTTTTCAAGATAAGCTATTATTTAGATAATCTGTAATTAGATAATTTATAAAAGTTGCCAATTCATATAAGAAAGCTTAGACTTCATGAAAGGCACACTAATTTCTGTACTGTTAGTCATGTGAAATGCTTGACTTTCGTTGTATAAAACACTTTTTCCCAAGGCTACAGGTCCCAGCTAGGATCTTTTAAAACTCATGTATATGTAGGCATATCATAGAACTGTCTGACTTAATCATCCCTGTGTAAGATCTTAGTCAGTTGTATGAAAATTAAGCCTATACCTCAGTCATGTGAAAATTAAGCCTATATCTCAGTCATAAAAAAGCACATTGCCCATAAATTAAAGAAAACAGAGTCCTCATAGCCACCACCCAAATCATAGGAAAGATATTTGCTTTAGGTTGGAACAAACCTCTGTTTCTTCATTTCCCATCATGTGTGTGTCTCTCCTGTTCCTTAATGAATGATAGATGTAAACCATCTTTTCTTGAGTTTCATCCTTTAAAAAAGAAGTAGTGTTAAGTCATCAGTAACAAAACATTGAGGAGTTCAATACTAGTAGGGTTTTTCAATAGGTCAATACCAAGAAAATTCTTAAAGTCTTGGTGCTTAAGCGAAATTTATTCAATACTGTAAAGAATCCTTTTGGTGGAGTTAATGTGTGTGTGTACATACAAACAATATAATGTATGTTTTCATTATTTCATAACAGTGATCACAGGTTGTTACTATTTATGTATGTAGCACATAACAGGCACTCTTAAGTCAATTTTTGAAAAGAAAAAGCAGCTAGGGTTGTACCTGGTAGCATATTGTGAGGAACTTGATTTATTAAAAACAGCAACATTTACATACCAGCTTAATCAGTGAAACATTCAGTTTCTTCATTGAATCTTACCTGTACGTTTTATGCATCAAAAAAATTTGACATTCCCATCCATGCGAAGAAAAACCTGGCAATCTGCTTCTGTAAAGATTGTTGTTGTTGTGTGCTATCGAGTCAGCCCCAACTCATAGCAACCCCTCCTTGGGTTTCCGAGGCAGTATCACTACAGAAGCAGGATTGCCCAACCATCCTTCTGAGGAGTGGCTGGTGGGTTTGAGCCGCCAGCCTTCTGGTTAGCAGTCAAGTGCTTTAGGCACTATGCTACCAGAGCTCCTCTATAAAGATTAGAAGCCTAGAAAAGTGTATGGGCTGGTTTTGCTCTGTCACATGGGTTACTATGAGTCAAAAATGCACTGAATGGAACCACAACCACATGTATACATAAATTGATAATTTGTGAACATAAAGGACTGAATATTAACTCTTAAGTACCAACTGTGTCATCTATAAAAATGGATGTTAAAATTACAGTAGCCTCCCAAATGGTCCCTACTTCCTTTCACTCTCTATCCTATACAATACAGTTTATCATTTTTCCTGTAGCCTCCCAGATAAAGGTCAAACACCTGGGCCTGATATATGATCTCGCAAACTGAATGGTTATCAAAATAACTAGGAAATTGAAGCAAAAAAATACAGATGTACGAACGTGTGTCTTTGAAGGTTTGTGAGCGTTTGTGTGTGTGTGTGTGTGTGTATGTATATATACACACACACACACACACATAATCAGAATTCTCTAGGTCTGGTCCTGATGTTGGAACAGTAATTTGGTTATACTGACTTCTACATGCCCCTGTCATCCTCCTGATCATTGGGTGTACCATCCAAGAAATGTTAGGAGGAATAGGATAAAGCCATGGGTATAAGATAGTTTCTCAAGTCCTTAGGATTATACAGGGAGCTTTATAAAAGCTGAAGCCCAGGAGTGTGTTATTTTAAAAAGCTTGCCAGTTGATTCTGTGATCAGTTAGCCAAGTTTAAGAACCACTAGGATGGACAGCAAGGTTATGGAATGAAGATTTTGTTCTCCAAGTTCTACAGGATAGAGATTTTTTAAAGAAGAAACATCATCAAAACCACATTAAATGATAAACTGCAGCAGTGCACAAAGGTGGAGAGGGCGGAGATGGGGAGGCTCATGAACAGGGTCTGTAGTTGCCCAAGTGAGAGGCAACATGGCCGAATTTGGATGGGAAGCAAAGACCAGACATTAATCACTACATAAGGGGAATGAAGGAGAGTTTTGTGGGGATGAGGGAAAGCCCTCGTATGACCAACAGGGAGGAAAATTTGGAACTCGAGCAGTGAGAGATTTGGGCATTTGATCTGAAATGATGGCATAAACCCATCAGAATAAATAGATTTCCAAAGGAGGCGGTCTGGTAACCTGAGGTCTGTTATACAAATCCCTGAGAAGACAGGAAGCCCCTTCCCCTTTGGATACTTACAGACTGTTCCTGATCCGGCCCCACTGTGAGGACAATGTGCTCTTTAAACTGAAATCTCACTACACTGTCCAACCGTGGGAACATTCCACCTACAAAACACCCAAAGAGAGAAAGTCATCTTTCAAAAAAGGAAAGCTGAAGATTCAGACTTGTTTCCAGGTACAACAATTTATAATAAACATACTAACAATTTGCAGGTGAATCAAAACCTGAGGTGCCCTTTCCAACTCAAGTATTTACCTACCCCTGTCATTTACAGTGATACTACTAACAGTATAGTTTGTATCCTTAGAGTTTATATTCTTAGATTCTCATTATTAGAATGAAGACAGAAACGCAATTAGATAAGTAATGTAAGCTGATAAGAACACTAAATAGAT